AACAAAATAGGTCGATTTCATTAGAAATCAGGTTGAGCGTGCGAAGTGCACGCGTCAGCGGCGCTTCCCTTAATAGGTTGGTCCGACCGCGGGGTTCTACCAGCAGTGGCGGTCGCCGGCGTCGCCATACGTACCTATCCGGAACACATAGATTCAGCTGTCCTAAAATGACTGCATTGTGCAGCTTTCCTCTTAATATTTTAAACAAATGTGAGGTGAGTGCAAAATCCCGTCTTACCCTTAACTCATTGTACCCCACCATGCCTAAAATAAATAATGTGGGATACATCAATAATGATACCACATATAATAGTGTAGCACGTGATGAACACAATATCATAGACACTTTTATAATAAATTTTACAGAAAGTGACAGCGATACCGATAGAGAAGACGGCGACAATTCATAAAATAAATTATTGCCATAATACATCTATCTGTTTTATTTGTCATGTTCCTTCATGATCACATTTTTTTATTTATTTCACTCACAATTATAAAAGAAAAGTCTCACATCGTTAATTAATCGTCAAAAGTAAATTATCGGTTCAGAAATATTTAATTTCTCGATATACTTAGTACACGAAAGTAAAACTATAAACGAGAAGAATCGATCCGGAAATATTACATTTCCATATCGAATAATTTCGCAACGTCACTATTTAGTACTTGTCATAACGTTGCAACACTGAAATTGTCAAATCTGGAATCGAATTAAAATTCCGAGTATAGGACAAAAACTTAGTAATATATGCGTTTGTTGGTACATATACCACAGACGGAGTCCAGATATATATGTGGCACTAGAACCACTAAATCATACTCATTGTAGTATACTTGGAGATCAGTAGCTCTGGAGACTATCTTCACTGTATCTCTGATGTGGGATATCCTGTAAAAGAAAGGGAAACATTGCATTAAAGTATTTTTTAAGAGTCCAATTAACATCAAATCAAGTGTGGGAGAGAGTGCCGGCTCGACCGGAGTGATACCACGGCCTCACAGAAGACCGACGTGAAACAACGCAAGCATTGTGTTTCGTCGTGTAAGTGAGGTTACCCCAATACCTAAATCCCCAATAATCCTCTAATTTCTAATCCCAAAAGGATGGTAACGCACTTGTAACGTGTCTGGTGTTCTACGTGTCCCTGGGCGACGCCGATTGCTTACCATCAGGTGATTCGTATAAACCAAACAGTGACGCAGAGTAAGGGACACTACCTATGTTGTCACTATCATCATCATCATGATCGCACCAATATTACTTGGACGTCAATGACCAGACAAGATGGTGGCGAAACGTCAACCTTTCTAGTAGGTATATAAAAAAAATAAGTTACCAGAAATGGTTGCCAGCATTACTGCTGTCGACAATCGGTTTCTGCTCGTCCTGTGACGTCACCAGCACATAGAAGCCTCCTGTGTATATCTTCACACCGTTCTTTACTTTTATTACTGCGAATCTGTGGAGAGTATGAACGTTATGTTATTTAAAAATATAATGAAATCGTAGGAAAGTGAAAACTGTACATCTAATATTCTTTTTGAAAGAAGAAAGAGGAAAGAAAAATAATTTATTCGCCACCGGACATGGACCACCGAAAATTAACATACAACATAAACATTGAAAAACAAAAACAAAAAAGAAAACAATATAAAAAACATAAAATAACAAAAAAAAAACAACAACGAAGGCAAAAACAAAACATTATACAAAAAGCAAAATAATTGTATAAGTTTATTGTTATGACATATATATGTAAGTTTATATAGGGATTTATTTTATGTAAGTCTATACTATCCGTTTTTCTATGTATTTCTGTTGAGTTTTAAATACGCTTGCTTCTTGCATCGACCATTGTTTTTGTCTCTGCATCACCCAAAGGTCTGGCTGGAGGAGAATGCCCTAGGCATTAAACTGTCAAACACCAAGCGGTCACCGGTGACCGCAACCTATTGTTCTATAATTGTGTCTATAATAATAATAATAATAATAATAATAATAATAAATAATAATCTGGCAACACTACAAACGTCAACTTGTGAAAATTTTACTCTGCTTTTATATAAATAATTTATACATAT